GCATGTCCGAGATGTGACGTGCACGAACATAACGAGAGTTCTCTACGGAAGTGTGCAGCTGTCGTGATCGCCCGCGCGCGGTCAGTCCAAGGACGATTTACGCCAGCCCACGCGCGACCTTGGTCCAGGAACAGGACACGTAAAATACGCGCGTAGACATGTATTAAAGGCCAGAGAAGGCGCAGCTGACGTTGCCTCTGTAGCAGCGAGTGAACTCCGTCCACTTCCGCTCTCTAGGGGGAATGAGGACACGAGGGATTTATCCAGGATCATTCACCCTCTGCCACGACTGTCTTTCTGGGAGGGAGTGTGTAAAAACTTTTCTAGGAGGGGCTCCGGGAGTCTGGAGCTGTAGACCATAGGTTTCTGAACTTTGCGTAGGGGACTCTGAGGTGTGTGTATAAACATGTGGTATAAATCGGGGGTCTCCGAATGTTTTGGCTAAGGGGCAGGATTAGGTATATGTTGCAGTCTCAAAAGCGGGAAATTAGGTAAGAGAATATAAACGAGGGAATACTAAATACATAAACCTAAATAGATTTAAATACAGAAACACTAAAGCAAATATAAAAAAAAAGTAAATTCGCATACTTTATTTTTAAGTACAATATTTTGCTCGAGTATTCACCAGAGCGCATAGGAAGTTTGGAATGTTCACACAGGGCAGCAGAAGACTAATAAAAATGGTAGCTGAGATCAGATCACCATACACGATATGCACGAGAACGCAACGGAAATTTTGCATAGTTACGCAGACATGCAGCAGGGGAATACGAACAGTAATTCTGGTGATGACGATATACAATAATTATTATGACGAGATAACCGGCCTTTTGATGCAGTTTTCTAGGGACGTGCGATTAGTGGATTTTAAGTTCGAAGCGAATAGTGGTTTTGGCCGAATATTTTAGAATCAAATCGTTTCTCCAAGCTGTTCACTACTCCACGATGCCTCAACGAAAGCATATCTGAACTCTTAAAGGGGTCATGAAACGCTTTTTCAACTTTTTCCTGTTTAGCTTTCCTCCTCAACTCATAAATCGCGCATTCCACCAAACAGTTAAAGAAGACGAAAAGAAGGGAGGCCCCCCCTCGCTCGGAATCTGGTTTGTGTACCCGGACGAGCCATTGTCCCCCTAGAAGATTAGCCCGTCGCTCAAAATTCAGACAAAAGTTGCTTTCCCCACCCCGTTCAATCCGAAGCCGTTGAAGCTACGTGCTCGTTGGGCCAGCCACACTTGCCACGTGGGCGCGGCAAATGTGGCTGCAGAGAATGAAGTCAGGTGATGAAAGGGAGGCGGCTGATTGGTCTGGCAAGCGCGTGGCTTCCACCACAATGTCAGCTTAGGGGTGAAGGGATTAAGTGAGGTCCGATTGCGTGTGACGTCAGTTTGGACCCGATGACGCGCTTTTGGGACCGCGCATGTATCACAGTGAAAAGGCAGAGAGCTTACGAAGGGGAGGAGGTACGAAATAGTCCGCTCTGTTTTCAAATTTTCGCACTGAAAGTCAGGCTTTTGACTTTCTACCTTTTTTCTTTTGGTCCACTGAACGATGTGCTATTAGTAAAATCCCAATCTAAAATTATTTATCCCAACCCGAAAATCGTTTCATGGGCCCTTTAAAGGTTGCTCCCAAGCTTCCACTTATCCATGCCTAAGCATGGGCGGACTTTAGGGTGTCCTTTTTATTTATGTCCTCCAAAATAAACTTATTTTTAATTAAAAGCAATTATATACACCAGCCAAAAGAGTAGTTTTTGGTGACATAGCAAATATTAGGTCAACCAAACAGATCTGGGGAACCTTCGGCCGTAACGTCATCTCTCAACAGATCCCCCCGCCCCCCCCCCCCCCCCCCCCCCCACGCCATAAATCCGCCCCCGTGTCTAAGCGGAGTTAATTTTGACCTAGCTATATTTATGAATTGTGACTCCAGAAAGCTGCCTACATGGAAATGGCAAGTAAATAATGCATTGGACATACAATTAAACCTACAGAGATTCCTAGCTGTACCTAATCGAGAAGACTTATAAATCTGCTTGCTATATGCAAATGTTCTTTATTAAATCTAGAATTTGAGGAAATAAACAAAACAATAATGAATGATGAACGTAAATTGCCAGGACATCTCTGCCTAACATACTCTGACATAATAGCCACATTTTAATTTTGAAAACTTTATTGCACCATCCCGCCTTGAAAGTAGACTTTTTTTTTTTAAGAACATGACTACAATATTCGTACTTTTCGAAGTTTTGACCGCGGTGGGTTAGTCCCGTTGAGCGCGCTTCTTACCGAGCAACGGTGCACTGCGGAGAAGCAACGCCCGCAGAAGCGAGCTTCTCGGCAGTGCACTAGTGCTCGGTAAGAAGAGAGCTCAACGGGGCTAACCTGCCGCGGTGCACACTTCGAAAAATACGAATATCAAAGTTCATCTCGAAGCGAATATCGAGTAGCGTACTATTTGAAACTACTATTCGAAAATTCGAATATTCGCACAACACTACAGTTTTATCTCATTCTTTCTGATATATTTTTTTTTCCATTTTGACTCGCTTCGCAACGTCAATATTCTTACTAACGTGTTTTTTTGTTGTTTTTTTTGCGTTTGTAGCAGCGGGTTGCGGGTCGCTGGAAAGGCTGCGGTTATTTGCGGGCCGGCTCGAACGCCTCCGCGGCCCGGTGTTTGGAGGCCCCTTGTACAAATCGAAGGAAGGCACATTGCATGGATATAGCAATAATGGCAGCAATATACCAAAGGGAGGGAAAAACCCAATCTCCAGATTTTTGTGGGGTCACACAAGGGTGTCATTTACTCTAAATTTTCAAGACTACATGTACCCTCCCAAAGAACAGTAACCTACAATCATTGCGCAGGGAAAGCACAGATGAACGCAGCGATGGACAATCTGCGATTGCATCAAGGGGACTAAAGGACTGTTAACAAAATTTAGACCCAAAAGCCGCAACAGTGAATATTCCCGTGGGTACGTAATGATCTTGCCCCACTGTGTAACGTATAATCCCTCGATAAGTTACGACAAGGGGGATATAATAACAATTTTAATGGTATGCGATCCGTTTTCTTCGGTTATTAATCAAGTGTTCCGTACCCCACACTTGCAAGGGCCGAATCAAAAACAAGCGGAGCGTTCTAAATGAATAAATAAACGTTAATAATTGAGCGGTCATAAGCAAGAAAAAAGAACGGCACGCGAAGAACGACGGGTTCGTGTGACCGGCAAATCATACTCTGGGTTCTCTAATGGAGCATTTCTCAGAAGTGTTCTGCGCATGCGCAGGGTTCTCCTCCTATTTAGCGGCAGAGGCTCGCATAGGCTTCGGAAAAGCTGGGACGGGTGAAATAGTCGCAGAGAAGCCATTCTTATCGTCGTTGTGTTCAGAAAATTTTGGCGAGTATGTCACGATATTACTCGCATCTTGGGCAGTCCGCGTCTGTTTGCGGAACAGAACTTCCTGTACCCTAAGACGATATGTTTGCATATGTGCGAGCAGCCAGCTCGCAGAAGAGCTGGCAAAAGTTGCGCAACTAATCGAAACCGGCTTGGACTCTATAGCATGGATGTAGTTGAGAGAACAGCATGCGAAACGCTGAAGAATTAAAAAACCGGGCGAGCTTCTCACAGAGATGACAAAAGGTAACAACAACGAAAGTTGGTGTCTTGCTCGATGAATATAAGCACAAAAGTAAAAATATAAAAATAATACGGACAGCCTCTTTCTTCAGTGAAATGTCTAACCTACACGCGTCCTACACATTAAAAAAACACTGTTAGACAACAACAAAAAAGGTGTTTTTTTTTTTTTTTCATTTTTGTGCTTAGTTCCAACTCATCCAATAGCTTGTCGTCACCCCAAGAATAAAGCAAGTTTTACGCGTACTACGGATGCGCGACGCCGTGCTCAGTGTAGTTTCGCTGTGATGAAGTCTGGCAGGTCGGTTCTTTTGTGCAGTCGTTCCAGTTCATCTACTCGAAGACTAGTCTACAAGAATGCACGTCCCGCATGGTTGCCCCGTTGTACGCGCGAATCTTGAACCGTGCGCTTTCCCAAGCTTGACACAAAGCAAGCAGAGAAGACGTCAATTGTGACAGTTCACATTCCACTCCTTGACGCATTACATTTTGTGCAGCAAAAAAAAAAAAAAAAAAAAAAGCTTTTTTGGGGGAAGGAGGTTTGGGACGAGGGGGAGGGGGTATAAAGAGTTGAGCTGATAATAAATATAAATTACAACATCAAACAAAAGCAAAAAAAAAAAAAAAGAGTACGCAAATGATAGCGCAGAACTATGATGATGACACCGAGCCCGCATGCAGCTTTTGGCTGCGTTGGCTCCGCAGGAGTCAAATTGCGGCGAACCAGCCAACCGGCCTCCCGACGAGGGCGTCGACCCTGCGCTCATCTCGCGCGAGACAAAGAGGCAGCTGAGTAAGCACCAAGCTCGCCGACGCCCGGTCTTTACGCTGCCGCCGTCCCCGCCAGCCGAGGGTGACCCAGTTGCGAACTTGCGACTCGCGCGCGGCCCGTTCCAGACCTCCGGAGAGCTTCTCCGCAACACCCGCATCGCTTCAAGGCGGCATCGATGAAGCTTTGCTCGCGTAGACAAATGGAACGGAACACCGACCCTGTTTGCGCCTACAACACAACAGTGTTAATAAAAAAATATATATATAAAGAAGCGAAATGAGCAAGACAGATCAGGTAACGACTTGACCAACCCACGGCCCCGCGCTCGCGCCACAGGTCGGAACAAAAAGAGTGGATTACCGTTCCTCAAAAAACAAGCTGACAAGTAAATCTAAAGAGAAAGTTATGTAAGTAAGACCCCTAGTCTTTTACGAATTTCTGCTCAATCCAACGTTCTTCCGGTGCGATTACCTTTTTTTGTTTGACAGTTGTCCGGCTATCGTCCGGGTAAACTGTCAAAAGGCGTACGGCTCGACGAAGTGATTTCGAGTGACCAGAACGAGTGGTTACCTGTTGTCTAATCCAACCGAGGGAGCAGGGAGGTATCCGCAGGGAACGACACTTCCTCGGGAGCGCGAACGACACTGCAACACCTCCGGAACCGGACAAAGAAAATATGCGGCGGCGGACACCGATGAACCGACGGTCGCCGATGTCTCGCCGGTTGAGTTCGACGCTACGCGCGGGACGTGCTCTCACGAAGACGCAACGGGTCGTTGTCACTTGTCACAAAGCTCCGATCGACTTTCACGAAACGTACACCACACGCGAACGGCACACACACGTCGAGAAAGAAAAGAAGAAAAGCCACGTAGAAGAGTTGGCGGTCCTGCTGAGAATCGCCTCGAGCGCGTGAACTCGGCGACTTCGCCAACTTCGCCTTCGCTGTGTGTCTTCTTTCTCTCGCGGCGACTCTTTCCCTGCACTCTCTCTCGCTGCCCTCGCAGCTTGGGAAAGCGGAAGCGGGGCGTAAAACCGGAAGTGACGTTCAAGGTCTGCCGCTTTTTGTCTTCTTTGTTTGGTCGGTCGCTTTTTGATGGTTTTGTTCGTGTATTCAGCGACGGGAGCTGGTTGTCCTGTCTGCGGGGGTCGGTTGGTCGGCTCCGTTGGCTCAGTGCACACGTGGCTCCGTCACGATACAGGCAGTGCTACTCGAGGCAACGCTCACGATGCAACTTAGAGAGACTAGAATCGTATGGCACTTTTGCGCCTTTTTTATATTTAATCACGATAGTCATATAATGTTACTCGACCTTGCGTGCTTCCGTGTTGACTCTTATCTCCATTACAGCGTCCTGGCTTTCCCCTCTCTTGGCAGAGATTGGCAGAAGTATATTTTTTGCGCAAGACAGATTTGCACCCTGATAATGCGAGATTCAAGGACAAAAATTATCAAACGGACCGCGTTAAAATATGCTTATTTGATTGCTAAGCTAAATTCTTTAACTGAAGCAGGGAGAACCTTCATTTTCAGCAGTGTTGGGATTTAAGTACATGTACATAAAGTACTACTTTAAGTAGGTTTTAAATATGTGTACTTCACTTGAAGTACATTATCTGAGTATGCACTTGTACTTTACTGAAAGTATCTTTTTGTGGTACTTTCTGAGGAAAGTACATTTCCCGACTTCAAAATACATTCCCTAAATGGGGTATTGTTAAATTTGTATCAGAAAATGATGCTTTGTCAACTTTCAAGGGATGTTCTACCCCCGAAAGAAACGCAGGCGACTATAAGGTCAAAACAGATAAGTGCCTTACAGGTTGATTGTGTTAAAGAGGTCGTCAGAGAGCGTAAAACAACCCGGGTGGCCGCTTGACTTTATCCAATATTCATCGGCATTTCCGAAAATAAGTGATGCGCCCTCAATTACCCCTAAAACATACCAGTTAAAAAAAAGGGGGGCATCATAAAAGTTTTTTTGTTGGAAAGTACTCGTACTTTTCTTTGAAATTGCATTGTATTAATAGTACTTTACTTCAGGTAGTACTTTGCGCCCGGCGTACTTACTTTCAAGTTTCAAGTTTATTTGTTTCCCTTCGTAGAAGAAGGGAGGGGAAAAAGCAGTACAAAAACTGCTTGACAAAGCCCCCTCCTCCCTTATACAGAAATAACGGTAGCAACACTTCATTAACAAAAGCAGAAGATGACTGGTACATACAGTCAACTTCTTATGCAAGCACGTCAGACTTCGGCATGATGAATGGAATACAAGGGGCAAACGGAAGAAAACAACTGCCCGAGTTACTTAAAGCTGTTTTGTATGTTAGGGCAAGTTTGTAGTCGTAAAATTTTGTCATTTTAATAATCCAGAATTTTTTGAATAGCGGTGCCGTGTGGCTGTCATACTTTTCGTTGCCCAGAATACGAATCACCCTTTTTAAATAAACACGAGAGGTTATGTACTTGAAGTACATAACCTCTCATTTACTTCGTACTTCACTTCAAGTAATTTTTAGACGTACTTTACGTCTTTACCCAACACTGATTTTTTATACGTACTTTATGTCTTTACCCAACACTGATTTTGATACACCTTTGTCTCACGCGATTTACAGTTTCAAATGCAGCATGCGACGTGTCTACGATTACTGACCATACACACAGTGGTGGATTCAGAAGGGGAATCCGGATGTCCTGACCCCCCTCTTCTGGGAAAAAAAAAGGGGGGGGGGGGGGATTCTCAGATATCAGAGATATGAGGAAAATCTGTCAACGCTGTTCCGTGCGTCTAATCAATCCAGAGAATCGCTGGTTACGGGCAGAGGGGAACGACCTCGCAAAAGTGCTTGTCGTGCCCGACTTGCGTCATCGTGCTAGAGCAGAACAGAAGAGTGGCGCTCGCGCACCTTTATGCTTTATAGTTATGAGATAGATCATAAATACACATAGCTTATGATATTATAACTACGCATATTTTATGAGATACAAATGTTGAGCGCGCAGACTGGGAACCGGCTCTGGACCCGAGACACTGCACGCACCGACGACGAACAGTGGAGTGTGCGCGCGTGGTACATTGGTTCGGTCGGTCGGTCTGTGGCCTGCCATCGTAAATATAGATCGCCCGTGACAAGGCGGCAAAACGGTCGTCGAGGATATCCCTAATTGTCCGGAGGACAAGCCCCTCCAACCGCGTCACTCTCTCCGTGTAACGACCATGGACCTTCGACTGCTCTATTTGTACCCCTGCTTGTTCGTCGATGATCTCTTGCCAACGCCGTGCACGCTATCTTTTCGCCCGCGATGGGCTGGCGGTGGCACACCACCCGATTTGCTTTTTCTCGTCAACAATTGTTCAATCGTTGACGAGACCAGCAACAATTCCTCAAATTGTTGCTGGGCGTCATCAACTGACCACAAAAGAACGCGGTTGTGACTAATACATCATTCGAATTAGACTGTCTGCAGACTGTCTGAACCGTGTTTCTTGCCCGATCCCCCGAACGTCATTCTGGTGATGTACCACACTGCCTGGTTATAGTTAGAGGGAGAAAATTGAGTTAGAAAGGCGGGAGAAATCATATGGTTGTCTTTTTAGACTTAGGCTAGGTGGCGCAAGCTACCGCCCAATTAACAACTATCCATCCATCCTTCCTTCTTTGTCTTGTCAGAACGGTCATACGAGAACTTTCTGCAGACATGTTCGAAGCCTACATATGTATGAATCAAACTTCGAACGTATTTGAGGCGTTTGAGGCGTGCCCGCAAATAATTAAGTCGTCATGACCGCAGCAAACGTAATACCGCTTCACAAAAAAAAAAAAAAAAAAAAAAAAAAAAAAGTTTTTTTGGCAGGCAGAAAAAAAAAAGAAAAAAGTTTAATTTATTATAAGAAGGTGATATCAGGTAAAATACACTTTTTTTTCTTTTTTTTTTCTTGGGGGGGGGGGTGGTTGAGGGGGGGATTAAAATAGTTGTTGTAACTCTGAGCATTGGGTAGAACAGGCAACACATAAACCCGTTCCAGGGTTAGAATGTCTGTTCTCAAGCTTTGACTTGATTGGAATGTGCGTTTTATTCAGTTTGGTAGCTTGAGCAGCGCAAACTGTATTTTGTTTGCCGATATGGTTGTCGAGATACGGACGACTGTCACGACTTTGGGACCGTCGCCATACGCAGATACTTCATACGCAGTCAGCATCCTTTTCTTTTTTATGTATATGTATTACGTAAAAACGAAATTAACGCGAGGAAAGCACTTGTTTGTTCGGGTATCACGATTTTGTTGTCCAAAGTACAAAGAAAATATTCGACTCTCCTGTTTTGAGCACTGTGTTTTGTACAACAAGGTCTTTTTTTTTTTTTTTCCTTCTTTTTAGAAGGTTTTTGTACTTCCGTTTTTTTATGATATTTTGTAATATTTTGATCGCTTTTGTTATTCTTCTGTTGGAAATAAAAACAGTGAACACATAATCTGCAAGTGTCATATTCTACACTATTGCGGGACCCCATGTTTGATATTCCACATGAAAATTATTCAAGTGAGATAGGGCTTCCAAGAAAATAATAAGAAGAATAATGGACCAAAAGCGTTAGATTCAACGTCGATTGTCTCCTGCCCCCCCCCCCCCCCCCTTTTTTTTTTCACTTAAAAAAAAAAAAAGTACATGAAACATGTGGTCTCTGTTCTGATACACTAGAGATGTCACGTACTAAATTATTAATAGGTAATGTTGTCTTCATGTTTGCAGTCATGTTTTCAGGAATATAAATTATGTAACAGATATATCGTTCTTCGGTGACTTCGGCAATAATGGGAGGAAAGCACATATGCGTGTAAGGAAGGAAAACGAAACGAGTTAAGTGCACCACGGACAAGGGCATGCTCCGCAAAATGTATGTAGCTAGTAACTGTTCCTTTAGTTAGGGACCATGTTTCTAAAGTTACTGAATATGTAGGAAAACAGACAACGGAGGAATGTAAAAGGAGAAAAATCACGTATGCCTTTTCAGGTAGCAGATGTGATGTTGTTTTATTCCAAATTTAATTATGTAAAAAAAAAATCGTTTTATCTTTTGGATTTTGGCGAAGGCAGCAGTTAAAGTTATAAGGTGATCTAGATACACAACCTTGCCGTGGAAGCTCATCTTGAAAAAACGTCGGCCAAAAGATGCGTGTTTGAAATCTTCAATTCCATATCCCATGTTCAAATCACAAGGCTTTTTTTCTTCGTTTTTCTTTCTTTCTCTTTTTTTTTTCTCCTTCGGGTATGCACTTTCTTATTTTTGATGCAGATTTTTATTGCTGCGCAGACAGAATATTTTTTGTCGTTTTAGATAAAAGCAAACATAACAACGAGCGCACAAACGGGCGCGAGCGCACCGCTCCCCAGGGAACAAACTTGCCGCTTCCCGTAACATGACACCGCTCAACATGCCGCGCCGCACCCATAAAGCCGCAGCAGATGCATACGAAACCCCAGATCACTTACATCAGTCACGTGACCATACACGCAGTCGTTGCCGCAGCCAACAGCGAGTTCGCAATCCCCCCTCCGCAATCCTCACAGACGCGGCGAGATTCACCGTCGCATTCGACCACTCGGTGTGTGCGACCGTCTGACCACGCGCGGGCACTGTAAGCACGCCGGTCACGGAGCACGCATGCGCAGTCGCGGTCCCGTCCCGGACGCTGCGAGGTCCTAGCCCAGCCTAGAACCTCGGGCACCACGAGAGAGAGAGGGAGTCCCCCGGCGAACAGAAAATTGAAAGAGAATGCGAGGGCCCACAGCAGAAAACTACGAGCCGTCCTTGCCAATCCACCGCGGTGAAAGGGTATCACGTGATTAAGCGTGTTTCGGCATACGCACCTGCGGGAGGGCACGTGACGCCCACCACGGCCTTCCATTGGCTGGACTGGCTCGTAACGTCCTCGCTGTCCGTCGTAACGGGTGAAACGAAATGTAGCACGTGCTCG